GATAATCAGCGAGTGAAACGCTGGCTTTTGATGTCTATGAAACCAAAAATCATGAAACGCTACATTCATATTCCTACAGCGCGCAAAATTTGGAAATCCTTGGCTATTGCGTTTTACGATGGCGTTGATGAATTATAGGTTTTCTCTTTGAACCAACAAGCCTTCACTACCAAACAGGGTGGGCGACCACTATCTGAATTTTATGAGGAGCTGACAAAGATATTCAGTGAGTTGGATAACCGTGATAAGGTGATTATGGAGATCCCTAATGATGTTGAATCTTACAAGAAATCTATTCAACGCTTGAGGTTACACATTTTTCTTGCCGGGTTGGATAATGATCTTGAACAAATCCGGGGTGAGATTTTGTGAAAAGATCCCGTTCCTGAATTAGAAGAGGTCTATGCCCTGATTCGACGAGAAGCTCTCCGACGACAAACAATGACAACTGAGAAAGATACTACAGCTATGATAGCCTGTACTCCCAATTGGCGAAACTCGGAGAGAACAACCGGATCTGGGAACTAGACAAATGCATCTCAATCAAATCCTCGGGGTTCATTGAAACTCGGAGAGAACAACCGGATCTGGGAACTAGACAAATGCATCTCAATCAAATCCTCGGGGTTCATCTTCCAAATATCCTCCATGTTCTGTCCTCAATCAAATCCTCGGGGTTCATCTTCCAAATATCCTCCATGTTCTGTCTGTGGGAGGACATGACACTCAAAAAAAGGGATGCTATGAAATCATCGGTTATCCTGATTGGTGGAAGGATACTCGCAACCGCCAGATAAATCAAACCACAGATGGAGGCAATAAATAGGCCTTAGGATTACTCACCACCACAAATACACATGGTAAAGCTTTACATTCTGTCTCTGTTTTGAATAATACATGGGTGATTGATTCTGGTGCCACTGATCATATGACATATAATTCAAAAATGATTACTACTATTACACCATCATCTCAAACTATTGTTTCCACAGCTAACGGTGCTCCGATTCCCGTTACGGGAAAAGGACCTGTTAATCTATCAAACACCATGAATCTTAACTTTGTCCTAGTAGTACCATCTTTAGAGTATAACCTATTATCTATTTCTCAAATAACTAAGACTTTACATTGTGTTGTTATCTTCTAGCCTTCTCATTGTATTTTTAAGGATATACAGATGAAGAGGATGATTGGTTATGACGTTAGGCGTGGACAGTTGTACTACCTTGAACCGGAATTAAAAAACACAGCTTTGAACACTAGTAACCCTAGGAAGAAGATTACAGATGATCTTTGACTATGGCATCGACGATTAGGTCACACATCATTTAGATACTTAACGAAACTTTTTCCCCGTTTATGTAATAAAGTTGATTGTTCCATTTTTCATTGTGAGATTTGTGAACTGTCTAAAAGTCATCGAACTTCCTTTAAACCTTCAATGGATAAAAGTTCAGTTCTATTTATGATTATTCATTCTGATGTATGGGGTCCCTCTCCTGTTTCATCTTTAAGTGGCATACAGTGGTTTGTTACATTTATCGATGATTGCACTCGAATGACATGGGTGTGTCCTATGAAGTCCAAGGGTAAAGTCAGTAGTTTGTTTCAGAAATTTTATAAACAGATCAGTACATAGTATAACGCTACCATTCGAGTCCTTCGCAGTGATAATGGAGGTAGATATATGGGTACCGAGTTATAGACATATTTCAAACTTCATGACATTGTTCATCAGACTACCTACACATATACCCCTCAACAAAATGGGGTTGCCGAATGAAAAAATCACCATTTGTTAGAAGTCGTTCGGACATCACTAATCGGGGCAAAGACACCTGCATCTTATTGGTGTGAAGCCATCTCCTCGGCTGTTTATTTGGTGAATCGGATCCCCTCCGCCACTCTTGACTATCAGACACCCTTCGACGTCTTAGCTAAACTTGCCATAGCTCCTTCCGTACCAAATCTTCCTTCTCGGGTATTCGGATGTGTTACATTTGTTCACTTACCAAAGGAGCAACGGAACAAGCTCGAACCTCGTGCCCTCAAGTGTATTTTTATCGGGTATGCCTCATCCCAAAAAGGTTACCGGTGCTATCATCCCCCCATACAGAAAATGTTTGCCACTATGGATGTGACATTTCATGAAGTTACTATGTACTTTGAACGGGCTGAACTTCAGGGGGACCATTATAAGGAAGTTTAGTTATTTAGAAATACTAGTGAGTAAGAGATATGCTCAATAGATGTGCTCCCGATATTGACTTCAAGCTCAATAGAAGTGCTCTCGACGTTGACTTCAAGCCCAACACCGGCAACTGAGACAACCAAAGTAATGCCAGTTCTTGATAATATAACAGCAACAACCCTGCCGAATGAAGTTGTGCAGCCCCTGCCTGACTCGAATAACCAATCGTCCACTTCAGATATCCCTGAAACTAAGTCCTCCCAGGTATCATCTTCTTTTCCCAGAAAACAACTTCCCAACCGAGCAAATAGAGGTGTACCCAAATCCACATATGATCCAGACCTTACAAGTAAAGCCAAATATCCTATGAGTAATTATGTGTCTTATAATCAGTTAACTGCATCTAACAAATCATTTGTGAATCAATTATCCTCTGTATCTATTCCTAACAGTGTGCAGGAAGCTGTATGTAATCCAAAATGGAAATCAGCAATGGATGAGGAGATGAAGTCATTATTAAAAAATGACACATGGGAATTAACTGAGTTACCAGCAGGAAAGAAGAGGGTGAGATGCAAATGGGTGTACACTGTGAAATTCAAAGCAGATGGAACAATTGAAAGACTCAAAGCTAGATTAGTTGCAAAAGGCTACACACAGACACACAGGATTGATTATCTGGAGACATTCGCACCCGTGGCAAAGATTAATACCGTGCGGGTGTTACTCTCATTAGCTGCTAATTTGGACCGGCCTCTACAACAATTCGATGTAAAAAACGCTTTCCTACATGGAGAGTTAGAGGAAGAGGTGTATATAGAGTTCCCACCTGGATATAAGATCCCGATTGAGCATACAAATAAAGTCTGCAAGTTAAAAAAAATTCTTGTATGGACTAAAACAATCTCCCAGAGCCTGGTTTGGGAGATTCACGAGATCGATGCAAAAGTTTAGGTACAGTCAAAGTAATTCTGATCATACTTTGTTTTTGAAGAAGAGTCATAGGAAAATTACGACACTTATCGTCTATGTCGATGGCATGGTCCTCACAGGAAACGACCCTCTTGAACAACATGCATTGAAGAAGCACCTATCTCAGGAGTTCGAAATGAAAGACCTTGGGGATTTGAAGTATTTTTTGGGTATCGAGGTGTCTAGGTCATCAAAAGGCATCTTCCTATCTCAGAGGAAATATACCTTAGATTTACTAAATGAAATTGGGCTGTCTGCTTGTCAACCATCAGAAACTCCAATGGAAGAAGGAGTAAAATTAGAAGTTGAAACTAACCAAGTGCCTGTTGATAAAGGACGCTATCAGAGATTGGTGGGAAAATTGATGTATTTGGCACATATAAGGCCTGATATATCATATGCATTGAGTACCGTCAGTTAGTTCATGCATAATCCAGGGGAGAAGCATATGTAGACAGTTATGAAGATCATCAGCTATCTTAAGGTAGCCCCTGGAAAAGGAATCTTGTTTCAAAGATATGAAGACTTCCTAAAGGTTGAAGGATATACTGATGCTGATTGGGTGGGAAATATATGTGACCGAAGGTCTACATCAGGGTACTTCACATTTGTAGGGGGAAACTTGGTCAATTTGGAGGAGTAAGAAGCAAAATGTGGTATCCCGATCAAGCGCAGAAGTAGAATATCGAGGAATGGCAATCGGTATCCAAGAGTTATTGTGGTTGAAATTACTACTGAAAGATCTAGGTTTCCCTCCAAAGGAACCTATGATGCTATACTGTGATAACAAAGCAGTATGTGATATCACACATAATCCAGTTCAGCATGATAGGACAAAGCATGTAGAAGTAGACATGTTCTTCATCAAATTCAACCAACTGGGTCGGTTTTTGAAATTAAGGTTGAAATGGGTCGTTTTTTATAAATAAATTTTAAAAGAGGATGGTTTTGAAAATTTGTCCACCAAAACAAACCTACCAATACGCAAGTCTATGAAAACAGCAGTCATAATCTAGATACTAACGTGATAAAACTGTAGGATCTGTAGGGTGCGCTCTTATAGCAAGAGTAAGATCTGCGGAATCATACACTAAATATTAGAATATATGGTATTAAAATATATGGTATAGATATATATAGTATAGATATATATGGTATAGTTATGATTCCTGGAATCATGGTATAGTTAGAAGAGAAAGTCATTTCCGTCCCTCATGTACGCTCGGAAGATCAGCTGGCTGACATACTCACCAAGTTAGAAGAGAAAGTTAATTAGCAAGTTGGGCATGTTTGATATATGTGTGCCAACTTGAGGGGAAGTATTAGAATATATGGTATAGATATATATAGTATAGATATATATGGTATAGTTATGATTCCTGGAATCATGGTATATTAGTATTACTTCCTTGTATAGCTCCTTCTCTCTATATATAAGGACAATTGTATTCTTTCATTGGATTAAGAAAATCACATAATCTTTTCCCAATATTCCTTCTCTATACTATTCAACAAAAATAGAGGTCATAACTGTCACTAATTCAATAATTAACATATACTTATTTCAGTGTTTTAAACAATATATTTTCAAGGTGTTCAGTATTAATCTTTTGGTTGTTTAGATGTCAACCGTGAAAGGAAAAGGGAAGTAAGTAAGAACAGAGTGATGAACAACTCAATATTTAGGTACACACGCACACTGTGTTTCTGTATTTTGATATGGTTGCAGCTTTAACAGGACTTTGTCACTAGTCAATTTTCAGGTACACAAGAAACATTGTTGAACTTGAAAGAAAATAATAATCAAGTTTATAAGAAATACTAGAGTAGGAACAGTTTCAACCATTACATTACATAAGCACACAATTATTTTACATAAGTAAACACTTTCTTACAAACTTTTCCACGTAAGAGCACAAACTTACTAGCAAACCATGGTCATCATATCCCCAAGCGCAAACATTAAAAGAAGTTGCACCTAGAGATCTTTATTCTCAATATATATAGTGACAGGAACTGCTATTATGGCCTCTGAGGGTAATCGTTAAAAAGTGTCACCTCTGAGATCCTGCACTGAAACCAGAAATTACTGTAACTCATATACCTGTACTAATTCCAAGAACCAAACGGGAGCCTTCTTAAACTCCACACTCATAGAATCATTCACATCGCAAACACCAAGCTATCTTCCTGTAACCACAAATTGGCTTCATCTATGTCACTTGCTTGTCGGCATACCAAAGGAGATAATGTCGTGTTATAAGCTTCAATTCCTGAAATAAAAGAAAAATAAATTGAAAAAACATAATACATAAAGGAAAAAATTATTTTTCAGTGTATGTATATAATCAATACCGTTAAAGGGTGTGTTTATATATGACATCTCCCAGCCGAGTTCTGGCAATCCCATGTTTTGCTCATCGCAGTAAGCGTTCATACCATAGAAATTACTCGGGAAAGATGAGGAACTTCCATTATGATTGAATTCATCAACCAAGAATGTATCCTCTGTGAAGCTTGCGTAAGATGAAACAGAAGAGAGACTATTTGTTGGGCATGATTCTACCAAATTAGCGAATTGGGTTGAATGTACTGGCTCGGTTAGCAAACTTTGTCCCAAAGGATATTCCTGATAAAATAAAAAAACTTCAAATTTATCACAATCATAAAAAAAATGAAAGAATTATATGGATTTGAGAGTTCTAATACCATGGGAGCATTAGAAAGATACTGAGACCCCCAAAAGCCAGTCTGATCAGTTCCAAACACAACTGGATGCAACTCTGTTTCCCTTCCATTTACTGAAGAAGTGATTAAGGGTGAATCACTGCAAATCTCAAAGAGACTCGCAGCTTGAGATGAAGGCTCTTCTGCTCTATCTGAGGATTTACTAGAGTTCTTCCTTGGGCTGAAATCGTTCGTCGTAGAGGAAAAGCTTCTTTTGCCTTTAGCTTCTACCATCGAATCGCCTAACTTCAATCCTTGTTCAGTTCTCTTAACCACTCGGCACAAAGCAAAAGCCCCCTGAGTCAAAATTATATGTTATTAGATATTTCCCTGTCTGATACTTAGTCATGTTTCCATCATCACATTTACTAAATGACAATTTCATACTATTAAATGTGATTATTTTATAGATCATTAAAGATTATATGTACCATGAAATTGGGAGTAGGTTGAGAGAGATCTTCACAAAGGCGGTATTCGTGCATAACCCAATCAGTTCTCTCCCCACCGGGAGCTCTTCCACGATAGAACACTAGGGTTTTCCTAAGCCCTTGGACTGAAGACTCGCAGAAAACCTTGCGGTCTTTACCTGTGGCTTTCCAGTACCCTGATGATGTTGCTCGATTTGTGCGTGATCCATTCGGGTACTTCTTGTCTCGCGGGCAGAAGAAAAACCACTCCATATCTCTTTTAGGTAGAAACGATTTATCTACAGACAAACAAAGATATTGGCTGGTCACTAAAAGATATTCATCAAAAAGAACTCAAAGAATAAGAAAAATTTTCTGAGTCAGTGATGTCAATTAGCAGGATGTCTCACAGTGGGAGATGTTGATATAAGTATAACTTTCTAACAGGGGAATTTCATAGGTTGAGCTATAACCGACTTCTCGAGAAAAAGGCCAGATGCTTGAAAGCGACTAGCTCTAAATGTTTACCAAATTTTATGATGGCATGCTAATAGGTTTTCATTACTTTCACAAAATACAGTTTCATTTAAATTTCGTTCTTGCAAAGTATGTCCTGGGCATTTAAACTCTGTTCTATCGCAAAATGTGACTTGCCAAGTATTTGGTTTCCATAGAAATGAGTTAAACTTGACATAGATTATTCTATAACCAAGAAAAAAATCATAACATCCTCATTTATGTTGTAAAGTACCATACTAGAGCATCGCAAATTCCAATATATTGCTTTAAACTATATATACACAATTAGGATTATCTATACATTGGTTATATACCTGGTAGTTCCCATGGATCAAACTTATATAAATCAATCACTGGAATAACTTCAAGTTCGATTGGTTTCCCATCGACTTTCCTCTTCAAGTAATACCCAACCAATTCGTCATCAGTGGGGTGGAAACGGAATCCAGGGGGAAGAGACATTGGACCCATCTTTAAATATCTAGATGAATCCAATATTGACGAAGACAAAGAAAGCGGAAAATCTGAGGCTTAATATTGAAAATAATGAACTTTACAGCAACAATTCAGAAAAGAAGGGATAAAAACGAGAGAAACATACTTAGACTACTCGACACAATGGAACTAGTTTCTATGTCTCAAGAGTGTATCTATTGAAAATTTGAAAGATCCAAAAGTAGAAGCTTTTCTCAAGGCGAAACCTTTCGGAAACTAGAAAGGATTTCCAAAGGATGCAACCGTTGAGGGGCAGAAACATTCTTCTCATGAACTCCAATGTTTGGAAGAAGAATGCTGCACTCTCCAATAGCAAACGTAGAGTAAAACCCAGGCTTAGAATATTAATAAGAACTAAAGAAGCTTCAAAAATGAAGCTTAGAGTTAACCCAGAGACCAAAACCAATCTAAACTTAAACTTAAAAATTTTGGAAATCTGAATAATTAAACAACTGATTAAAAAGTCCCAAATTCTGCTTAAAAATTTGCAGTAGTTTTGAACAGGTAAAGGAAAATGCTAAGCTACTTAGTTAGATTGAGAGTGGAGAAAAGGAGAATGTAGGAGAGTTCAGTATGTGACGAGGGATTTATATAAGGGCAGAAAGAAGAGAATGCGCATCAATGAAGACAAAGGTCGGCCAAAAAATTCCAAGTGTGTGGACCTACGTAAGATGAAACGGCTGTTCACACTTGAATCAGGTCTCCCGCCAATAATTAATTAGCTATTTAATTGGCCCACTCCATACTTTAACCAAAAGTTTAAATTTCGTTCAAAATTAGCAAATTTTATCCTTGAATATATGATACTGACGCAGAACAATCAAATTAATGGAGAAGAGGGACCTTAACGAGTCAAATGCGGATACGAATGAATTATTGACTAACCAGTTTGGTAGAATCTCACAATCTCATCAGTAACACCCCTTTTATAGTAGGATTTCAGAAATAATCAGCATTCAATTTATTTTTAGTAATAAAGTTAGAGTCAATTTAGATTAGGAAATAAATTTAATATTGAAATCAATTTACATTAAGAAATAAATTTAATTTTGATTCATGATTTGTTTCCTGTATTACAAATGAATTATTGAGTCAAATGCGGATACGAATGAATTATTGACTAACTAGTTTGGTAGAATCTCACAATCTCATCAGTAACACCCCTTTTATTGTAGGATTTCAGAAATAATCAGCATTCAATTTATTTTTAGTAATAAAGTTAGAGTCAATTTAGATTAGGAAATAAATTCAATATTGGAATCAATTTAGATTAAGAAACAAATTTAATTTTGATTCATGATTTGTTTCCTGTATTACAAAGAGTCTTTTTAGGATAGAATTTGATATTTTCTTTAAATTTTTTAATAATTCTAGTCTTATTAGGAATATAATTTGCTTTTCTATTTAAGAATAGACGTATAACTCTAAAGAATTAGATCACTTTTATCAATAAAATTTCTTTTTTAATATTCTCTTTATGGATTCAAAGTTTTTTGTGGATTCAGAGATTGTTCTTTGTGAATTCAAAGAGTGCCCCTAAGTGGATTATGAGGTTTATCACTTTGGTGCTACGTTAATTAATATCAGAACCCTATTTCCTATCCGATTTACCAACGACGAAGCCCCTATTACCCTAAATCAGATTAAGACTCATACCGACTAACTTGCATTGGTTGTGGAGTGTCTGAACCTAGGACGAGTTCGACATCACACTGATGTTTGCCAAAGACATGATAGGACTCCATATGAATTCAACGGTGATTTCGATGAATATTAAGCCCCGCACTGATATCCTATCTATATAGGCTAGTCAAGATGGGATATTTATGATACTAAAAACATGTTGATTGATTTACCATGTTTCAATGGAAAATTCGATGTAGAGTATTTTCTTAATTGTATTGATTAGGTGGAGAGATTTTTCGGATACTTGGGAATCGTAGAAGATCACAAGGTTAAGCTAGTAGCCTACTGACTAAAGGGTAAATAATCTTTTTGGTGGAAATCATTTTTCAAAGACCGAGCCCATCAACAAAAGCAAAAAACCTGATCATGGGCGAAGATGAAGGAATTGTTGACAACTCATTTTCTTCGTATCTATTATTATGTGTTCAATCGACATCCTTGTTAGACCCTAGAGGGGGTGATTAGGGTCTTATGCTAATCTAATCCGATTTTATGCCAATTAAAACTAATAACAAGTTATCCTAACAAGTATGAAATACAACAAGATATATGAGCTAGGATAAGAAATATGAACAAAGAGATATATCCTAGCAATGAGATATACTATGAGATATATGCAAGGATATACAAATTAACACAAGGGAGAAATAAACATAAACAAAATAAGAGTGATAGTATAAATAAACAATGCAAATACACAATATGATCACGGAGTTCGGACCTTCCGTCCTTCGTCTCCGCTCTCCACTCCCGGGGAGAAATCTACTATCACAACTGGGTTTTCTACGCTTACCCGAACAACGTTTACACCTCACACTCAGTTTTCTAGTTTACCGAAAACTCTACAATCAACACTCTTGCAATCCAACTCTACACCCTCTCAAGTGTTGGAACTAGACGTGTCTCCTTCAAGTGCTCGGATACAACTTCTCCCTAGGTTCGTCAACCGACGCCACTCCTCTTGGGACGATCCCCGACTCTCGCCACACACTTCTCTCGGTGTACAAGAGTATTACAAAGTGAATCTCACAATAAGCACAATACAATAAATGATTGTTCTCTAATATGGATGAGAACTCAATTAAAGCACAACTCAATGTTACAATCTCTCACCAACCCAAATATACTATGTATGTAAATACTAAAAGCTCAATGTGGGTGTGTGTAACAATGAGATTAATCAAATCTAAACTCAATATAAAACTAGCTTTAATAAAATGGTAATAAAAACAAATAGATATAAAGCTAGAAATAGAGTTTAGAGAACTTCTCAATAATTTAAGAGATAGAGAGAGAATAATTGGATGCCCAAACGCCAATAGATGATCTCCTCAAGCTCTTGTGAAATTGATTTCACAAACTCAAACTTCCAAATGCTTAAAAGCTTCTTAAACACTCTTAAACCAAACTAAAATCCTTGTTAAAACACTTTCAAACTTTTTTAAAAACACTCTCTTGGTTCACTGAGATCTGAGATCAATGGGGTATTTATAGCCTCCCAAAACCTCAGCCGAAAACCCAGCAGAAATGACCAAAAACCAACAGAATCAGAAATCAGATTCTGTACAAAATGATCGTTGGATTGAACGGCGGTCGACCGTGAAAATCTCGCGGTGGGGGGGGAGCCACTTTCGAGGCTTAGAAAATTACAGAAACTTTGACGGTCGATCGTGGCGGTCGATGGTGAGAATTTTTGATCGAGCAGACGGTCGACCGTGGCGATCGACAGCGAAAGTTGCTGATGGCTCCGCAGGGAAAATCAAAGGCGCGGTCGACCGTGGCGGTTGACCGTAAATTGACATATGAGAAAACATGTTTGAAAGTTGATTTTCTGATTTTAAAACCCTGTTTAAAAATATCAAATAAATTCCAAAAAATTTAAAACTTTAGGGAATGATTGTAGACATGATAATACATATGCTACAAAAACTAGTTTTTAGAAAGGACTTCCCAAATGAAAAATATTATTATTTTGAAAAATAGTTGAAAACATAAAAATGTGAACCTATGAGTTTTGACATTTTAGCTTAATCATGTTTTGAAACAATACAAAATGATTTATAGACTTAATAAAATATGTATATAATGATTGTTAAGTCCATAAAGCAATAACTCAATATTTTTTAATAGAATATGAAACAAGTGAATGTGTATATGAATATATATTTGTTTCATATCTACAAAACTAAACAAAAACAACTTTACCATATGAAACCAAACATGTATATATATATATATATATATATATATATAAATATGTATTTGTTTTATATTTAAACTTGAAATGTGTGTGTGTGTGTGTGTATATATATATATATATATATATAACCAAATACGTGTGTGTATATATGATTGAGCTTAAAGTATCAACACACATAATATAAACTCCTAAACTAGACCCAAGCTATCTTGATCTTCAACGAAGCTCTTCTTGGTAAACTTTGCGGATGAAGCTAGAACTTGGATCTTCAATTTGAATTGCATAGGCTTCAACCACTATATCCGCCAACCTCCATTTGATATGATCGTTATGACACAATCCATCCAACCTCTAACATGTTGTTTGTCTACAATGAGTAGATAAACACGAACACTAGACAAACAACATTAGCAGTAAATTGTTTGTTAAACATCATCAAAACAAGAAGGCCAACAATCCTGGCTCACACTTTAACTGTGGTCATGAAAGGATTAAGCAGCCCTAATTTGACCCTGAGCAAGACCCTGGAGTTGAGAAGAGCATTGAAGTAGCAACAAAGAAAGAATAAGCACCTTCTGAGTGCAATATTTCCTGCATGAGATGCACTATGATGTAGAAGATTTGTGATGTTATCATTGACAATCACAATAGAAATAATCTTATCTCTCATCATATGGTGAATAAGTACATTTGAAGATAGAGAAACACACGCCTTCTTACAAGATCGACTGGATTCGCAAGGGCAATGATGTGCAAAATAATAAGATGAGTCGGGTACTTTTTTCTATTGGTTGCAACTATGTTGATGAGATGTTGTGTGATGTGGTTGAGATGGATACTTGTCATATGCTTTTAGATAGGTCATGGTAGTTAGATATTAGTGCCACCCACAGGAGGAGAGATAATATTTCTATCTTCAAGAAGGATGGACATTGAATTACTCTCATGCCTCTTACAGAAAATGAGCCACCCGCGATAGAGACTATTGATAAGAAGAAAATTTTGGTGGCAAATAATAGAACTTTCACAAAAGACTTCAAGCTATCTGAAGAGGTATATGTATTGGTTATAACTAGGAAAGAAGAACATGCTCCTATTGAGATTCCTCCTGAGGTGCAAGCCCCAATTGTCACTGAGATTCCTGATATTGATGGAAATATGTTAGTGGAGATGGACATTATGCATGATATTTCTGAAGCTATTGTAAGTAATATTACATATACTAATATTTCTGCGATGAAAGAGAATGGTAGAATTGAGAGTGTGACAATTGATGATATGTGTAACTTGCTTATTGGAGGGTCCAAAAGAAAGGAGATGGAGTGTGAGAGAATTTTATTAAA